CTTATTCATCTGGTGTAACCTACAAGCTATCTATTACAGTTTTTGACACGTCCCATCCGGTGTGTGTTCTTATTCACTTCTTGCGCGGACTAAGGGTCCAGGTGCGATCCAGCAATACTCGAGTAATACGTATCAGAATGGCGACGGTTGCTACGAGCCCTCTTGCGGGACTGTCATGTCTGTGGCCTGATGGTGCAGAAAAACCCTCTCTACAGTCGTGGATACAGTGGAAAACATCTTTCCAACATCAAATTACTCTCTTTCCTGTGTTAAACCCCTATATCGTGTTATCCGATACCCATTGGATTATGTTATTCCGCCAAGCCCTTGGATCAGAAGGACAACGTCATTTTGATGCTATGAATTTGATGGCTAAGACCAGTATTGTGCACGTGTTCCAGTTGTTTGAGGAATTGTGGGGAATCCAACATAGTGTAATTTCCACTCTTTATCAGTTTTTCAAGCTACAGCAACGATGCGGAGAAAGTGTAAATGCTTTCATTGCCCGCATTCATCAAGCTACACCGGAATGCCGGTACAATACCATTCTTTCAAGTCGGTTTGAAGAAGTCATGAAAATCCAGTGCCTAATTGGTGGAGTTACAGATGATGGTGCGAGGGAACAATTATTGTCACAGGAGGAAGAAACCCTTTCCTGGGAAATGGCGTGTAACCTTGTACGTCAAAGGGAAAACCTAAAATCACAACTATCCACCTTCAACCCTCCTCAGCCTGTGGAATGTGTAAACAAACTGTCACCACGGTTATCCTCTGAAAACAGGGTACGGAAGTTCGTCTGCTACCGATGCGGGGATCAGCACACTTCTCCCACCCAGTGTCCTCATACTCGCACAAAGTGCAGAAGTTGCGGAAAACTTGGCCACCTGGCACGTGTTTGCCGTTCCCCACGGTCACAAGTCTCGATCAAATCATTGAACTCCGATGACGGTGAGTGCCCAGATTCGCAGCTAAATTTTATGAACCATATAATTTCAAACTGCTCAGTTATGACGAAAGTGTCTCCATATAGGATCACGCTTCATGTTAATAACCAACCTGTTTTATTTGAATTGGATACTGGTTCCGCGGTGACATTGATTAGTAAAAACGCGCTCTCATCGTTGCCTGACGTGGAACCGACTGATACCGTTTTTAGAACCTATACAGGAGAAGTGATTGATTTACTTGGGAAGTGTCAGGTACGAGTGCAGCATCAGGGTAGATCACACAGTCTGGTACTTCATGTCGTGCCTCAGGCTCCAGTCAATTTGCTTGGTCGCGATTGGATGAAAATGTTACCACAAGTATTAAATACTATCCACTCTGTGGGGGAGGATACCTTTGAATCGGTCCTTAAACGATATCCAGAAGTATTTGACGAGCAGCAATTGGGCAGACTCAATAATTTTAAAGCAAAAATCAATATGTCAGACTCAAGTACACCAAAGTTCTTTAAGGCCAGAGCACTGCCCTATTCCTTACGACCTAGAGTGGAAGACGAGCTGAAAAGGCTTCAAAGAGAAGGTATAATTGTACCAGTCCAACAAGCTGAATGGGCGGCCCCGATAGTGCCTGTACTTAAGCCCGACGGTAACGTACGAATCTGTGGTGTTTATAAGCTTACCGTAAATCGAGGTGCCATCATAGACCGTTATCCATTACCGAAAATTGAGGATTTGTATGCCAACTTGTCTGGAGGAGTCAAGTTTACTAAATTGGATTTGAGTCACGCCTATTGGCAGGTAGAGTTGGATGAGACCTCCCGACGTCTTACGACGATCAGTACACGTTTGGTGCTATTCGAATACACTAGACTGCCTTTCGGGATTAACTCAGCGCCAGCGATCTTCCAAAGGATAATTGACAATATCGTGCGTGACATACCGAACAGTTGCGCATATCTCGATGATACCCTTATCACGGGTCGCACAGAAAAGGAGCACTTGTACACGTTGGACCGGGTGTTGCATAAACTCTCTGAACACGGTTTGCGTTTGAAACGCTCCAAATGTGCTTTCCTAGTTGATTCAGTTGACTACCTCGGTTATAGACTGGACAAGCATGGTTTACATGCGCGGAAAGATAAATTACAACCCATTATTTCTGCACCCTCACCTCGTAACGGAGCCCAGTTACGCTCGTTCGTTGGAATGCTTTCACATTATCGTCGGTTCCTACCTAATCTTGCTTCTGTTCTAGCACCACTTCACAACTTGCTGAAAAACGATTCTAAGTGGGCATGGGGCGAGGAAGAGCAACAAGCATTTGACAGAGCAAAAGGTCTCCTTGCTTCTTCACCAGTCTTGGTACATTACGACCCCAACAAACCCCTCAGCATACAGTGTGATGCTTCACCTTTTGGAGTCGAGGCAGTGCTGGGACATAAAATCCACGACGGAACAGTTCGCCCTATTGCTTTCGCGTCCCGCACATTACAACCTGCTGAGAAAAATTACGCACAATTAGACAAGGAAGCACTGGCCGTGGTATTCGGAGTAAAGCGGTTCCATCAGTACTTGTGGGGCAACCAGTTTGAGATACAGACTGACCATAAACCACTGTTATCACTTCTCGGTAAGGAATGAGGCACAGAACAACTTAACGCACCCGAATGGTACGCTGGGCCCTCCTACTTTCTGCTTACGATTATCAAATCCGATACATTGCCGGTCCTCACAAAAATGTCGCTGATGCGCTCAGTAGATTGCTACAGATTGACCAACAGGACGAAAGAATTGACGCGCCCTACGAGTTTGTTCAACTTTTGCAACACCTGAATACTACACCCATATCTGGTGACATGGTTAGGAAAGCTACAGACAGAGATCCCGTTCTATCGACTGTGAAACGTATGCTGCTGCGTGGCTGGGGTTCGCGAGCCCCTGGTGATCTGCGTCCGTTTTTCAATTGTAGGTTTGAGCTGAGCCTGCATGAAGGATGTATCCTACGTGGATCTCGCATCGTTATTCCATTGACTCTCAGGTCAGCTGTACTGAAAGAATTACATGATGCACATCCAGGTATTGTCCGCATGAAAGCCCTCGCCAGATCCTACTGCTGGTGGCCAGCGATTGACCGAGACATCGAAGCACTTTTGAGTACTTGTAACACATGCCAAAAATATCAAAGAGATAATCCAACAGGCCCAATTCACCCTTGGCAGTTGCCCGACAGCCCATGGGAACGTGTCCACGCCGATTACTTTGGCCCGATCGAAGGAAAAATGTTGCTACTTTTATTAGATGCGTACTCCAAATGGATTGATGTGCATGTTGTTGCAAGCGCTACTGCAGAAGCTACAATCAATGGCGTACGCTCTAGTCTATCTACACATGGCATACCGAAAACATTAGTCACTGACAACGGTCCGCAAGTTACGAGTGCAGCGTTCAAAGAATACCTGCAGAGCAACGGCGTTCATCACATGACTTCCGCACCGTACCAACCAGCGTCAAACGGTTTAGCTGGAAGAGCGGTCCAAACCATGAAAGCTGGTCTTCTAAAGCAGCGTAATGGCTCGTTACGAACCAAACTTGACCGATTCTTGTTCGCATATCGGATCACACCGCTAGAGTCTATCGGAAAGAGCGCTGGGGAGGCAATGTTTGGGCGTCGACTACGTACGAGGCTAGACCTACTTTTTCCAGACCCTCGTCAGACCAGGCGTTGCCAGCAACAACGTATGCATGAAAGTGGACGCGCACCAGTTAAGCCCCAGAAGTGGATAGTGGAACGTGATGTTTACACGAAACTACCACATGAGCAGTTATGGCAGCCTGGCACCGTGCTTACGAGCTCAGAAACGGAGGCCGAAATACAACTAGAGAGTGGAGAGACAGTACGCAGGCACAATGATTTCATCCGGCCCCGCACCCCAGTCACACCGTACCCTGGGGAAGAGAAAGTGGTTCCAGAAGATCTGGAGGAGACAAACAAAAACCAAACGGAAGAAATCGATCAGCCGATTGCTATTCGGAAACCGCACCACTCACCTAAGCCGATCGAACGTTATATTTCACAACTGTGATTCCATGTGCCACGTGAGAGGATGTTACATGTGTGTCGTCTGCTAAACCGCTGAGCCGATGAGCAAACACAGACACATACAGATCGATTGACCGATAGCTGAGTCGTCCACCCTTTTTCCTTGTGCTGATTGGTTCCTTTTCGACTTATTCATCTGGTGTAACCTACAAGCTACTACTACAGTTTTTGACACGTCCCTTCCGGTGTGTGTTCTCATTCACTTCTTGCGCGGACTAAGGGTCCAGGTGCGATCCAGCAATACTCGAGTGATACGTATCATGCGGTATCCGTGTCAAGAGCATGGTCTTGCTGCACTCAAGCCTCCTCAACGGAATGCATTCAAATCACACCCATCCGCCCTACCAACTTAGAGTGAATTAATTAGGACGGTACAGGAGTTGGTACCGGCGCCTTTAGTGAGTGGACTCATAATGGCTCTCGAAAATATGAAGAACCCCACCACAACTTCCGCTATTTTCTGGAACCGGGACGCAATACATATCTGAGAGGTCATTAATAAAATTTGACTATCCAGTGCAGCGGGCCAGAATACCCTCGAAACATCTTCTATTTTTGAGTGCGCCATCAACGGAACCGTCCTAGCTCAGGACGTTGTTTCCACTCTCAGTTTGACGGCTGCTAAACAGCAGTTTGCTAACGCATTACGCACTCAATTTAGTGACATAGTCACCGTTACTTTTTTTCACCTCGATCATCAGTTAATCTTTAGCATTATTACCCGTTATGTGCGATTATTCTATTGTTTTCTCTTAATTGCTACCATTGGTCCAGTGAGTATAGTTGACACGTGTGTTTGCCAACGTTATATGCTCCGTAGGAATTGGGTACATGTTAGCCACTTTACGGTACACGGTTTTGAAGTTTTATCTTCATCCCTGCGTTTGGACAGAAGTGATGTGTGTCTCTAGCGAATCTTTGGCCCTCAATCTTCCTTAATATTTTTCTTGGTTCAGGTTAAATTGGCTGTTGGAACAGTCAATAATCCATCCCTCGTCTGGGCCGGCAAAAGCCTACTCGCTATGGCTACTGGAGAGCCATTCGTTCGTTTGTGGGATGTCGAACATGCGGACAACTACACATTGATTCCCAACATCGATATGGATAAGTCCGTGAAGGTGACGCACGTAGTGTATTCCTCAAAGCACCGTAAGTCACTTCATCCCGAAGATACGCTTCATCTGCGCAATACACTTTATGATCTTTTTGACTTGTAAGTTGCAACTCATCACCCCGCGACCAAAAGCTGAATTAAGTTTGTTTTGACCATTGAGGGTACAAGTTGGTCCAACCACAGTCACGTGGCATGCGCCTATATGTATGCGTTGCTGCTCACGAACGCAGATTTTTACATCCGGAATGATCGTTAACCATATTGTTTTCTCAATCATCCACTGCGATTGATGCTGGGTGGGTTGATCTACTCATCCAGCTAGATCACTATCAAATGAAATCTTATCAACGCATCTGTCCACGCGGTTCACTCGGTCTCAACAGTTTAAGCAGGTTAACCGTCAATGGACTATCGCCATGCCATCCTATGCGGCTAGCCATAAGGTGAAGTGAAGTTGTCGACTGAATTACGAGCATGTGTTACAATTCAACACGATTCAAGAAAGAACCTTGTGCACCTAGGAGGGCGAATGTTCAGTTGTCACGCATACACCTTCAGCATTTTAAAAATATAAAAATGAATACAAGCAACATAAAGCGTAATTCAACAATGATATAGGCAGTAGTATAGCTGGTGCACACACTTGTTAGTAAAATTCAGAACAACTAATATGTAACTGCTTTGTCCCAGCAGCACGCTAGCGCGACAATCTACGCACCAGACGCTCGTTTCTCCCTGTTAGGTCCCGTCAATGGTGCACATTCCTCGGTCCTCTGCAGAGAGCCGAAACCGTGACCGCTGTCAGGTTGCGCCAGCAGCTTATGCCACTAAGCAACGGTGGCAATGGCAGGCGGTTACAACTTGCAAACTAACCAGAAAGTAGCGCAAACAATCTCATGCAGGTTAACGACTTTGCAGATGACAGCTGTTGGCCTCCGAAGACCACGAAATCCACAACGCAGTGTCTATGTACGACATAGCACTTGAGGACTGTGAAGTCGAACGTTTAGGTTACTTCTGAGAAGGAGGGTTTTAGATAAAATTTAACCGGTTCGTCCCATCAGCTGACAGGGGACCTTCAGGGAACCGAACCGAAGAAATGTGCATCACTGACGATCCTCAACATGACGAAGGATCGTCTGGTGCTTTTCCAAATTGGTGTTTTGATTGTCGCACTTGTGAGCTGCTGGAACGAACCGGTGAACTTTCATCTAGAATCCTCCCACTCGTCATCATTCTTCTCATGATACACGTTAGCTAGAGGTGGAAAAGACTTCGGTCGCTGTGCCCCAATGCATAAAAGAAAAAAAAAGAAAAAAAGTGCATTAGATGCATTCCAACTGAGCTACCAGTAACAGATGGGCATCGTTCCGGGTAGTTACAAGCCGGCTACTATACAGCAAAAAATTTATTATGCAAAATTATATTATGATAAGAAACGATATTGTACTTGCAGGGGGGGGCTAATAGGGAGGGGTGGAAGAAAGGAACGCACAACACGAATGTCATTGTGGTCCGCTCCTAGCCAGGTCGACAAGTGTATCCAGCCAAACGTGTTCACCGTCCTTCGGCCCCCAAACAGGGAGCCGAGACGATCCAACCGAGGCCAGCTTCGAAGTGAAGGCATTCATTCCTCTCGACCAAGTCATCACTTGACCACCTCTCCTTTTCTTCCATCCACACCCCGACGCGCAAACAATGCAAGTCGCGGGAGTCGGTGGGCTGGTATGCGTAACACGTGGCCGAGTCATCGGAGCCTGGTGTGTCAAAAACGGTACTGAGCGGTCCACTTCCTCACCTTGCGCCCTAAACAAGGCGTCGAACACGCTCGTTGCTCACGTGGTGTTCCCACCAGATGTGAGTCAAACTGGGAAGGCACCGGTGGTCGAACGTAACTAGCCTCTTTATGTCGGCTGATCTAATGGGTTAGTTTTCACAACCGTACAGTAGGGTCGGAGGTACGGCTGCATTATACACTACCCTTCAGGCAGAGAGTGAAGTCGCGCCGGCGCCATAGATGGCGAAGGTTAGCAAAAGCACCTCGAGCTTTTGCTGTATGGTTCGTGATCTTCTCCTCAATCCCAAGAGCGCTGATACAACTTCTAAGGTAGTTGAATTTTTGGACGACTTCTAGCTGAACCACACCAGCTCATCAGTAGTTGGTGTTAGTCAAGCAATTAAACTGGTCCTTAACGTGGTGCGACAGTTTGCGTGCTTCTTTTACCCACTGTGCTACGCTGGGTGGTGCCCCCAGGCCCCTTGCGAGATACTCCCACCAGGTTGGTCAATGGATAGAGGTCAGGCAAACTCAGTATCCTGGTCCTCCAGGTTGCGGCTTTGAAATGGGATGGCGTCTATTTCGGTAAAACTAAATCATTGCAACTCTTCGCCGCAGAGCGTACAGGCTTTTGCGCCCAAGACTTTGGTTGAGAACCCTATTCGTCCTCCTGCCTAGGTCTGGGCGCTCTGGCAGTATCGCAGCCCACATACCACCTTGACAATTTCTCCAAACCCTAACTACATCCTGCATCGGCCGTTGCGGAGATTATCAAGAGATTATCAAGGGTTGCCTTATCTGCTGCATACAGTAGGGCGGGTAAGCGATAACATGCTACTCCTAGCGCCTCCCTACTATTTTTACACCTGTTTCTCTTACTCCCATTCCGACCCCCATTACTAACCTTCCTTCTGTAATTCCCAGCTTAATTGACAGCAAACGATGTGCCATTGGAGTCGCAGCATCTGCAGTCACCTTCTCGCAACACTCAGTGGACGCCTATCGGCAACCGTCGCTTATAACGCCATCTTGTCCCGTTTCCTTGGCGACGTTCAACGTTCACACTCTAAAACAATTAAGTCATCAATCTGCACACACGCACCTTGGATACGCTAGGTAATGACGTATGTTGTGTGTCCGAAACTAAGATCAATGACCCTAATGGGTTGTTGAATTAGCTGCGCCTGTCTTGTCCTTTCGCTATTAATTTCAAGCATCCGGAGACGCTGATGCAGCACTCACGGGTCAAGCTGGTGTAGGTATCATTCTAAGCTCCAACGCTGAGCCATCGTTGGTCGATTGGATTCCGGTGAACAGCCGTTTGACGATATCAACTAAGGTTGATTCACGAAGTAGTACAAAACGCTGTTTGTTTGTGATTTTCAATTATGATCCCACCGACTGCAGTTCAGATGTTGTCAAGGACACATTCTATGACGAACTGAACACTCTACTGCGCAGTGCTACTAGCTCAGATGTCATAATATTTGCATTGGAAATTAACGCACAAATAGGGCGTCTGATCTCTTCAGCAGCTAAAATAGGTGTTAATTATGGGTCCAACTCCGAGCAGACTGAAAACGCCAATTGTCTATTGCAACTGTGTTCAGAGCACCAGTTGTTTCTTATTAGCACTGCTTTTAGACACAGTGGACGCCGAAATGCCACTTGGCGTCCTTTTGTAACTGGCCAGCGATGGACCCATATAGATCATTTTTCCATAACTTACAGATGGCCTGGTCCTGTCCTAGATTGCCGCTCGTTTTGGAATACCTACGTTGACTCTGCTCATGCCTTGGAACGCTGTCCTTTCTCTGTGAACTTTAGCGGGAGGCTCATCAAGCGTCTCCCTGGATTGGTTAAGGTGAAATTGTCTCAGCCCTCGGTCGGGCAAGCCTATCAAGACGCACTGCGTACTGAAATTTCTCTGTCTTGTCGTAATGACAGTAAGCTTCAGTAGCATAATATCTCGGTCCTCATGCAGAATGCAGGAGCATCTGCCTGTGGCACTATCAATCGTCACCGCACCAGTCAATGGATATCCGAGAGGTCGGTGAACCTGTTGTAATCCAGAAGAAAACTCCCAGCTGGCTCTGAACACAATGTGACCAGACACACTATAAGGCGCGAGCTAAAGCGGAGCCTGCGTGCTGACAAGGAAGCCTGATGGACCAGTCGGACTTAAGAAATGAAGGAGGCTGGAGTGTGGCGCCCAAAAGATAACCGCTATCTATTATGTACTATTTAATTGTTGACAACTTGTACCTTATTCTTTCTTGTTTTAATCTTCCTTACAACCGGCTCGACAGTCGACCGCCTTGTAAGTTCCTTCGTTAACGTGTACCTCGTCCCTTGCTTCATCCGTCCGCATCTTCTTTGGCCCATCGAATACAGTCCACTGTGTCCGATGCCAATTGCCTTCTGATACCCGCACTTACTTTCGTGCACCGTCTCGGACTAGTAGTAACTAGTCTACAGGAGCAATTGGCAATTACCGCAAGATCATCCAGTTGATCTGCACCACCAGTCCCAGGAAACCAGGCGTCATTGAGACAATCGGAGACAGCGCTGGTACTATGGTACACAATAAGCAGCGTCGGATGGCTCGTTGGACGGAACACTTTCAAGAGCAGTTCAGCTGACCCTCTTCCCCCCAGACCTCTTCCTACTCAGGTGACGCAGGACGAGCCATGGGCGGTTAGTTTAGAGCCTCCGTCGGAGGCTGAGGTCCGAAACGCGATCACAGCCCTCCATCGTTTTCGTGCCACTGGCCCGGATTTCCTGACACCTGCACTATGCAATGATGGAGTTGAGGCCCTCTGCAAAGCACTGACCTCACTATTCGAACGTATCTGAAAGGAAGTGTGTCCCGGCTAATTGGAGCGAATCGATTATAGTGGCAATATACAAGAATAGCAGTCGCACAGATTGTGCTAACCACATGGGAATTAGCCTACCGACAGTTGTGACAAAAAATTATTGGCCTCGATTCTCGTTCGTTGCTACATTGCGGAACGGGAAGCGCGGATTAGGGAAGAGCAGGCCGGTTTCCGCCCAGGACGGGGCTGTATAGACCATATATTCACTTTGTGGCAGGCGCTAGAGCAGCCCCACTCATACCGCTGACCGACAGTAGCTGTGTTCCTCGATTTCAAGAGTGCCTACGATTCAGTCGATTGATGCATTCTGTTCGAAATAGTTGCGCAGAAACGTGTTCCCACGAAATATGTGAACATCCTTCGTGCTCTATACTCGAACACTACAGACCGCGTCAGGGTCTACGGTGACTTATCGCATGGCTTTCCGACCACAAGTGGCGTGGTTGTTCGATTTTCCTATTTTTGTTCAATTTCGTCGTGGATTCTATCATGGAGTGTTCCCTTGCGGAATCTCACGATGTAGGCGTTGAAGTGCTGCCTGGTGAAAGGTTAGTTGATCTAGATTATGAGGGGGATATCGTCTTGCTTTTCGACGATGTTGGGGCGGCCCAGTCAATCCTGAATAGCCTGTCTAGAGGGGTCCCATTATTTTTTATGCGCTTCGCACCTTCGAAGTGCAAAGTGTTGCTGCAGGATCACCAGCCACTTGATGACCCCTTGACGCTTGCTAACGAGGAACTCGAGGTGGTTGATCATTTCACTTATCTTGGCAGCTGCATCAGCAATGATGGGCGCATAGAAACTGACGTCAGTTCACGCATCGCAAATTTAGCACTGCCTTCTTGAACCTACGGTAACTTTCGCGACAGAATGCAGTTCCTATTCTTCTGTAAGACCGTGTATACGAGGCCACGGTGAGGGTCGTTCTGCTCTATGGTAGTGAGACTTGGCCCCTTCGATTTGCAGATCTGAGGCACCTTCAAGTCTTTGACCATCGTTATCTGCGAAGCATCCCTGGTGTCGGATAGCACCAGCGTGTCCGCAACGATGATGTGCGTAAGCGAGTACTGGGTAGTGATAACCAGGCTAGCACTTAATAATTCGCGTTAGCTTGGGCACGTGCTACAAATGCCTGGTCACCGCGTAGCTAGGAGGGCATTGTGTAGTCTGCCAGGTGTGAGGTGGCGCAACGCTCGAGGTGGACAGAGGTCTACTTGGCAGCATGAAATGGAGTCGATCACGACTAAACTGGGGACCGTCGATCCATCTCGCTTTCCGGGCTGTGGTCCACGTGACTCGCCTTGTTCTTGGATCGAAACTTTAGAGGATATGGCTCGCAACCAACACCAGTGGCACGTCTGCTGCCGTCACCTAATCGGATTGCATGTTTAAAGTGTGTTTGGTGCTGAGTTATCTGCGGAGTATTTGTTGATTATGACACGTGGCAGTGAAATCCGAAGGGAATCTGTCTCGCCGATGCCGCGTTATCTTTGCACGATAGCCAGCTGTTTGTGACCGTATGTTGTTAACACAAGGTGTAGGCGCCTTGACCCTGAATGTTTGCTTAGGGCTTTAAGGTGTTCAGGTGGGTCCCCCTTCTCTCCCTCTTTTTATTCTTTATACCTTAGCTCATCTTGGTTGTATGGCAGCGAAGCATCAGTTCTAAGGGCTGATGTACTGCTGTTGTTGACTGATTGATTGTTAGTCATGCTAAACGCGCTGTGGATATGGGGGACAAATGAGTTGTGCGCAGGTTTGGAAGCACATCTGGATTTGTACTTGTATCTGTTTGATGACGTTGAATTGCAGTTAAAGTGAATAGCACCACTGAGCATTTTCGAAGCAAATTCTTTGCACGAACACCGCGATATTTTCTTATTAGCGCTTAAATAGGTTAACATTTTTTAGGGTTGGCACTTTCTCAGACAGGATGTGCTGTACGTCAGCCAGAATGTTGCTTACAGTTGGAGCTAGTTGGTTCATGAGAACTAGCATTCTTTCTATTTCAGTCGAATATCCATAAAGTTGTGCATTCTAACCGATGGTAGTGATGCTCACACTGCCCCCTTCTTAACAGGAATGCTGGCAGCTGGTCTTAGCAATGGTATGGTCGCATTTTGGAAGTACGAGATCGACTCGTCAACAGAGAAAAACTTATTCAGATTGCTTCAGTCCAATCCTACATGGACGGGAGATCAGACAGATGACTTCACAGAAGATCCGGATGTCGCTCGATACTATTTATCTGAGATGGGCTCCACCCGACCGGCCTCTTTTTCCAGCGTGGATAAAGGGCCCGAGGCGAACTGGCATCCCCAACCAACCACCGTCCTAACCAGCTTCTCGGAAGAGGAACAGTTCTCAACCAGTGCAACGGAGGTAGAAACACACATAAGGATACTGATGTGGGATAGTTCTGGTGAACGAATTGCTATAGCAGTTTCCGCTCAGCACCCGGACGACACGTCAGCTGTTAGGCACGGTGAGTTCACAGGGCAGGAGATTACTTACTGCTTAACTCTCAATTAGTAGTTATTTCGACCTAAATGTATCGATGGGAATGCTAATGTGCACTGACCTGATTAAAGGTTTGGATAACTATCGGTTATTGCTTGCCGAGACACTTCTCCTGAACTTGACCTGAATAAGGCTTAATTAAGTGACTTTGCTGCAGTCGTTCTGTTGGTGCCGAAGTGCTTTGTCGATCGGCAGCAAAAAGTCCCGGGTCATTGGCTTAGAATACACGCTCTACCAGTTCAAACCTGTGTACGTGCGGTTGACTTCACAGTAGCCATTCCGCATGCGAACACCCGGTGTGTTGCGTTACAACAATGCGTCGGTACAGGATTCTGGCCTACTGTTGGTGCCTTCCCAGTGGCGTAGCAACTACTTTTGCCACCCGGAGCGGTAGGAAAATTTTCGCCCTGACTGAGGGCAAAATAGACACGTGAAGGCTACACAATCGGCTCAGGTTAAAGTGCGCAGTAGTTTTCGATAAATGAGTGATCGTTTGAGACACTGTGGTAAATCTGGTGAAAGTGACCCCAACGGTAGAAGTAAGGTGATTGTTGGGAAAAACGTCGCACAGGTGTGTCACGTGGCGCAAATGTGTTGTTAGTTCTGCAGCGTAACAATAACATCTTCAACCCTTAGCTTACCCGAATATCTCGCCCGTTATACTTGATACAGTACAATCGACGGTACTAAAAATGCCGCCCTCTGTCACTTGCCGCCCGGGACAGACCGCCCCCGCCCCCTCCTTATGACACACCTCTGTGCCTTCCTTTCGCCTTTTTCCAACGCAGCTAGTTTATTTTCCCTTAACTCTCAGTGCACTGACATTTAAGTACAACTTTCTTCTTCCGATATTTATTCCACTGTCCTCGTTATTATTATCTGTAAGGTACACTAGGGTAATAACTTTTGTTCAATTCATTTCTTCCCCACATTTTCGACGCTAACAGGCCTAACACCGAAGTGCGCTACTTACATTCTTACACGTCAGCCATTGTGTGGTAATCTTGGCGGAGGCGGATGCGTGGTTGTCCAAACTGGACCCCGTTCTCTATCCATGTTTACACCGGAGAGATCTTACACAGATGCGTCCAAAATTGCACCAACTTGTGTCTCCAAAGGACTGGAAACTAATCCCATGGCCACACCACAAGCAAACAGTGTACATGCACCCCATAGCGCTTCATCCACCGTATTTCTGTCCGGTGATTTACTAAAAGGAAGCCATTCAAGTACTTCGCTTCAAGATGACTCTAACTCAGTTCAGTCAGTTCGGGAGCATGAAGCACAGGTGAATGACCAAATCTTGGCCCTTTACTGCACTCAGGTAAGTTCAAGCTAGTTGATGTTGATACATGTTAGTACTCTTGTCAAAGCACCTTATGGAGGATCACCTTATTCTTACCTGAGGAAATTACCAACAGCATAAAGAAGATGGACCGATGCCGTAGATTTCTAATATAAGGAAATGTAGACCAGATAGTATTGTCCTTGTGGCAAATTTGCCCCACTCATTCCATCTGATTTACATCAAAGACTGTCATCACCTGACCGACACTGACTAAGAAGACGAAACTCAATTTGGCTTCTGAGTTCAGTTAGTCACAGCAGGGAAAGAAACAAACCACCCCCTTCGCACAATGGCCCTATGTCCTATATGGAGTTGAATGAACATCCGAATAAAATGTTCCCTGCTTAGCGTCTACAGGTTATTAAAAGCAAACTAATTCGACAGCAATAGGGTCGGTATGAATTTGCATGTCATTCAGCGGCTCAATTACCATTTGAAGTGTGTGCCTGTCTGTACACCAAATCACGAAAGCTTCTAAACAAATTGGATTTTTTTAAATCTTATCAAGCCTCGGTTTTTTAATCCTTATTCTGGTAAACCAACCGTGGTTTCCCATGGTCTGTCACTTTCATTTGATCATCGAACTTGTATTACAAACAGAGTTGTCTTGTACTCTCGCGGCCAGCTAAGTCTTAACCTGGTTGATTTCTCAGAAATTCAATCCGTTGACCCACTTTGTTACCGTTCACACTATGGCTCGATTTTTACTGTTTTGTGGCTGTCATGTGCCTTACCAAACTCTATCCTAGTAGTGGACCATCATCATACTTGAACTATTAAGGGCTTTCCGAGTCAGTTTTGCCAACTACACAAATTCTCGTAGAGTGACTTGTTCGATACGTGCTTTATCTTATGACAAACGCACCACGCATCAAGATTTAACACTCGAACATGGCTGGTTATTCTCGGAGTTAAAGGTGAAAATGCGTCACCTTGAGGGATTCAGTTCAGGGGGGCTTGCATATCATATATATTGACCTGAACACAACCCTGCGGAGCCATTTCCTCTAGCTAGTTCGCGGGAATGAATAATACACCCAAACGATCTGGTGGCCAATAGACACTCAAAGTTTCAACTGCTTTAAAGGTAAACCAACAAACTCTGCAGTGCGATGCGACAATCCTCCCCTTCACGCCGCATCATCATCATCAACAGCAGTACAACAATCATTTGAACTGATGATTCGCTGCCGTACAACCACGGTGAACTACTGAACGGAAAACAATAAGAGAGAAGTGGTACCTACCGGTAACACCGTAATGCTTTAAACAAACACTCAGGATCATGGCGCCTACACCTTGTGTTAACAACATACGGTCACAAACAGCTGGCTATCGTGCAAAGATAACGCAGCATCGGCTAGACAGCTTCCCTTCGGATTTCACTGCCACGCGTCATAATCAACCATTACTCCGCAGATAACTCAGCACCAAACACACTCTAAACAGGCAGTCCGACTAGAAGACGGCAGCAGATGCGGCACTGGTATTGGTTGCGAGGCAAATCCTCTAAAACCTCGAGCCAAGCACAAGGCGGGTAAGATGGACTGATGGCACCCAGGTTGGTCGTCATTGACTTCATTTCCTGCTGTCAAGTTAATTTCTGCCCACCTCGGGCCTTGCGCCATCCTATATCTGGCAAAGAAAACAAGATCCTCCACCGTTTGCTGTGACCAGACATACATAATACGTACCCAAGCCTACGCAACTTATTCAGTGCTATCTGTTGTTCTAAGAGACCAGCTTGGTTATCACTGCCTAGTACTCGCTTACGCACATTATCGTTGCAGACACGCCCCATTTTGGCAAGTGAAAGCTTTCCAAGAGGCTTCTAATTCTCCTGGTAGAAAATATATTATTATCCCTTGAAGTACACCACTTCGAAACGTTCGGGCGCATAGCACACCACAATCATTGTTCAACTACCCATTTTACAGACTCGGCCGTACTTAAGACTCCGATATATTTGTGCGGACGCAGTTCTTATGCGGTAAACGGTCATCACACAAAGGCATAGTAGGCATCTGCTATAAACGTGGACGAACCGCTGTCTTGATCTTTTCAATGACAAATCGATGAGACGCAGTTTTTCGCTGCCAAGAAGTATGGCTTAGGTAATTCAGCCTAAGAAGTGGACAGTCGGTCTTCACCTGGGAACAATCTCCAATAACTTTTCTCCCGTTTCTGTCCAACTACTCGTGGTTTATCATTGCAGAAGCACTCACTGGTTTGCTGAGCTGATGCCTCATTACTGCGACAGGAATGGGAGGGTTTCGCAAGGATCGCCGTAAAATGCGATCTTGCTACTAGCCAATGCAAGTTTGATGATGCCTGTTGATCGCGGAATGGGGACTAAGTATGGCCAATTGGTTTCCTCGAAGGACATATGTTGTACCTTCTTAATCTTCTTATAAGTTTCTGATCCATAGGAACTTGTTAGTTCGGTAATCTCTTTCTTTCTTGTTAACTGAATGTGAGAATCGGTTGAATATTATCCTGCCGACGGTAACTCAGTGTGAGGCCTTTCAGGCCTGAAGTCATAGCCACTATTATACTTTAATTTCTGCGCTAATCTTGCAAAAATACTCGCTTCATTCTAATTATTGGCTGGCCACCTCAACTTATGTTGAGGTTATCACGGCAGCTGGCAATTACTTACCACTTCAAGGCAACTTTGACATGGCCTGCATGCGGTCTACCAAAACATACTAGAGTTTAATGCGGTCAAGGGTGATTTGTCCTTTATGTGCTATTGAAAAGCTTGTCAGCGCCAGTCTGGGAACCAGTTTTACGAGCGCGCTTCACATGCAAGCAATTTTCGAGGAGCGCACAAATCAGGCTGGAAAAGAAGCAGAATGACTTGATTCACCAGTATTTCCGCTAATGACGATGGTGTACGTGTGGTACTACTATAGACTAGTTATCCAATGGTAATAAATTTGGTGAATGTACATCTCTAGTCTTTGTTATCTTCGTTTGCGGAAGATAGTCAAGAGTATGTGGCCTACAGTATCAGCCGAACCACGCCAGACTCAAGGGATTGTATGTATTTAACAGGGGGTACAGACGATGGCATGGTGATATGGCACTAGGACACAAGGTCGACTGACTTAGATCATACGTGTCACAGAGTGATGGAACTCAGTCAGGGTACAATAGCTCTGAAGGTTTTCACGTTTATGAGGCCACTATGATTGCTGCCACCACATAACCTCTCCAACGCCGCGGAGCTTTCTTACGGCAGTCATTTTCCTTCCCCAAATTATCCACGTTCAAGAGGCAAATGCTTAGGGAACTAGACTATTATAACTGTCATTGGAAAATTGATTCATGAGATGTCTCCGAGTAATGGATCACCGCCTGTCTTCCTACCATCGACCGTGTCTAGAGAGACGAAAAAGAGATGGATGGTGATTCTTATGCGTGTTGTTTGTTAATTTCACCAAAGTATTTGATACGGTGAACCGTGAGGCATTGTGGCTGGTGTTGGGTAAATTTAAATGTCCGCATAAGTTTGTAACTTTAGTTAAATGTCTGCACAGTGGTATACTGGCGAGGGTGCAGCTGAGTGGACAGACTCCGGATGAGGGGCCCAAAACATACAAATACCAATGTTTTCATAACTAGACTTTGGCCTCAACCATCCGGCATAATGTTAATATATGAAACGCATATCCCAATACTCCACTTATGCATGTCACCCATGCAGGGGCATGGATTCTTCTGCACGGATTGAGCTGTGCCTCTAGAAATACAGTTGCTCTCATCAAAAAGTACACGTATTATTATTATTATTATTATTATTATTATTATTATTATTATTATTGTACAGTTGTCTCTGGTGTGAAGCAAAGCTGTGTCTTACCTCCTGCCCTGTTTTATGTTTATCCTCATGCTATGATGTCTCGTGCTTTTGGTGTGGCTTGTGCTTACGGTGTTCGTATAGAGCACAGTATTGGTGGTGGGTCGCTGAACATCCGTCGTTTCAGTGCGAGAACCCTAGTCTGTGAGACAACTATCCGTAGGTTGCTGTTCGCTGACGACTATGCGTTGTTTGTACACAGCGCGGATGAGTTGCAGCACATGACTAGTGCACTGGCTTCGACAGCAACCAAATTCGGGCTCACCATCAACACAAGCAATACTGTCTGCCTCTTTCAGCTTTCACCGGAGGTGCAATCTTCAATATTGCCGCGAATCAGCATTGGTGCTGAAGTATTGGAAACCACCTCCCGCTTTGGCTACCTTTGGAGTGTGATGTAGACTGACCAGCAGCTAAACAGTGAGCTGCGTATCCGCGTATCGAACGCAGCTTCGGCATTTGGGAAGCTAGAGTACCGAGTATGGAACAACCATCAGCTTACCGTTGTCACGAAGCTGATGGTGTACACATCCATGGTGTTGTCCGTTCTTCTATACGGCAGTGAAACGTGGACGATGTACCCGCGTGATGTGCGATATGTCGAGCGGTTTCATTAACAGTTTTCACGACGGACTCTGCGCATTGGTTGGTTCGACAGAGTTGCAGACATGGGACTGTTGCACCGAAGTGGATGTATGCAGTGTACTGCATACTTATGCTGAGACACCTGAGGTGGCTCAGTCATGTGAGCCCGAATGGATTCGACGCGGATACTGAAACAACTGCGATATGGCCGAGTGCAGGGAAGCGGCACGTAGGAAGACGTAAGTACGGTACCAGTACATGATCAAAGTGACCTTATCATGTACTAATGTTGATTACCGGTGTTGTGAATCGAAGGCGGTTGATCGGCGTGCATGTCGCATTCTGATCACGAAGGCAGTTGCCGAGGTGCAAGAGAAATCCCTCGTGCATGCGGAAAAGAAGCGGCAGTTGCGGGAACGACAGGTACCGATGGTGTGTGCTCCATCGACGTCGAACGCGTAGTGCTGTAGCCCATGCGGTCGCGAGTGCCGGAGTCAGGCAGGTCTAGTGAGCCACAAGAGAAGCCACT